TGCTATAGAGAGGAAGGTGTTATTTAGAGGTGGCGTTATAGACAGGTTTATACAAATAATTAATTTTTCCATTACAGTAAGGGCAGTAGAAATTGTTTAATTTTCAAAAGAATCCGTCTATAATAGTTTTGAATATTCATAGACAGGTTTAACTGTATTTAACTGGGCCTTGCCTAAAGTTGAAATAATAAGTCCATCGGGGATTGTCAGGACCTCAACCCCGGATTGGACCTAGAGGAGAAGGCGCTGGTGGAAGCCCTGACCACCACCCTGACTGATGGACTGAAGATTGAGTCCATGGGGAACTCCATGGACCTCCATGGTGAGGGGAGTGTAGCCGGGATCCCCTTCCTGTGGAACTTCCACCTGATCCCTGAGACAGACCCCAGCAAGGTGGGAACACTCCTGTAACTTGTACTTGCTGGCTATAAACACAAGGTAATAAGACCAAATCCAAATAAATAGTGTCTGACATTTCAGTAACAGCGTTGTTACCATCTTCAGATCCATTCAGTACTTTTGTATGAAGATGGTAACAACAATGTTACCGAAATGTCACACACTTTTTATTTATTTATTTGGATTTGGTCTTATTACCTTGTGTTTATATGCTCCAATGGCCCCCCGATTCTTGCAAAAGTCCAACCCCACCAGCGAGTGCAAGTAACCAAACGATGCTCTGGCACATTTGTAAGTGCAAAGTCGAACTGCTTTTCACATGTGTAGACATGTGGTGCGCTTACAGTTAAAGCAGTCACTAACTACCCACCATGATTATCATGGCCTGTACCACGTGTACTAGGGATAATTTAAAAAAAAAAATCTTGTGTTTATAATCTATAATCCAAATTGTGCCTAATGCTGGTTTTATTAATACAACAGGTTTCTGGAGTGATAAGGCGCAATTTGGATTATAGATTATAAACACAAGGTAATAAGATGCTGTTACTCTTCTTCTTCTTTCTTATCTCAAAGCCATGATAATCATGGGTAGTTAGCGCCTGCTTTTACTGTAAGCGCACCACATGTCACAAGATGCTGTTATTGAAACGTCACACACTATTTATTTATATAGATTTGGTCTTATTACCTTGTGATTAGGTTTCTGGAGATGAGTTTCTTCTTCTCATTTTTATTAATGTAATCTCAAGCTTTCAGGTGGGTGGGTGGAAGGTGTTTTTTTGTATAAACTCTGCTAACTTTACAGTGTGAAGTCTTCCTCAAGCCTACTGAATCTGTAAATCCCAAAGATTGTAAAAGGTAGAGGTATAGAGAAGGTAAAGGTTTAAGTTTTGAGTAGAGATTTGTTAGAGAAGTAATACATAGTTTATTTTTGACTACCATACAATCTGGGTTTGAATCCCTTGTCCGGCACCTTTTCTTTTTACACTTTTTCTTTTTTACACATTATTGACTGTATTGACTCATCCATTGATGAGCTATACTCTTCCCCGGCAGACACCATCAAAAGTCTCAAGTTTTACAAGCTTGATACCTTAGTGTGATTGAGTGGAGATAAGAAAGAAGAGACCTTTTCTTTTTCTGAAGAAAAATAAATTGATTCAATGGCCCCCCGAATCTTACAAAATGCCCAACCTCACCAGTGAGTGTAAGTAATCAAATGGTTTGCTCTGTTATCTTATAAGTGTGGAAGTCGAACTGTTTTCTAACAGTGTAACAATGCTGTTATGGAAGCAAAGTCAGACTTTCACCAAAGTGTGCCTGGATCATCTTGATCGACGAAAGCTACACCCCATTCCATTTTTATTTATTTATTTCAACACACAAATGCGGTATCCCGGCTAGGGATAATTGCGATATATATTAGGAACCTGAATCTTTCAGGTTTGAAAGAAAATCATGAATATATTTACAAAAATAGTTAAACTTATGATAATTCTCTCTGCTATTTACAAATTGATATAGATCTACAACATTGTCTGTTGTCTAGCGGTGAAGAAGAGTGGGCATTCCAGCAGTAGGTGTCTCGAGTCCTGGAGTCGAGATCAGTGGATTCATGGAATTTGTGTAATCTATGCACAAGAGGAAAAGAAACAACAACAATCCTGTCACCGAAATGTCACTCTATTTATTTGGATTTGGTCTTATTGTATTTGTGACCATATGTTTGTATCCATGGAACACATCTGTTGTTGTGTTTTTTATCCCCTTATGTAAAGATTACATGAATTCCATGTCTCATGGAATGGGGTGTAGGAGTGCAGCTTTCATTGATCATGGCACCATGATCCAGGCACACTTGTAAAACACATCTGTAATGTTAACTTGGTGTTGTAATTTATTTAAAGGTCAAACACAAGCTCATATAAGCAGCTAAACAATTTATTATTATATTACAAGCGAGGAACAATACAAAAACATTAACCGTTTGTTATGTTGAATTATCCATATGATTATTATTGATTTCAGAAGAATAACATTTAGTTTTACAACATCTATAAACCCCATGTTACACACCAAGTGCAGGCACAAAGTAAGTGGACGGACTCTCTGTATGTCCAGCTGACCAGCCTGCTTCTCCACCCTCTGGTCCGGCTCACAGCCACCCTCCTTACCCAGCGGGAGGACCTCTGTGACAGACTGGCTGCCAAGGACAGAGAGATCCAGGACCTGCAGAAGTCCGGGGCCGTCTGTTCCAGGGGTAGGTTCTCCCTGTGGCATCATTCTGGGAGATCCATGTACTATATATACAACTTGTACTAAAAGAAAATAAGACTTAATCCAAATAATTTATTAGTGTGTGACGTTTCGGCAACAACATTGTCACCATCATCAGGCAAAAGAATAAAATTATTTTATAGATTTTATTCTTTTGTTTGATGATGGTGACAATGTTGTTGCCGAAACATCACACACTAATAAATTATTTGAATTAGGTCTTATTTTCTTTTATTATAATCTCTAATCCAAATTGTGCTTTATCATACAACTTGTACATTCACTCATGAACAAATTTTAACAAGTATTTGATGTCACCATTGGATAATTTTTTTTTTTTTTTTTTTGAAGGAGACAGAGGCAATTTTGTTTACACTTGGTTATCTTGTGTGTCTTCAATAATGCCCATTATCTATCAAATATCTTTCAGAGTTATTGTTTCTTATCCCCTTGTGTAAAAATTACATGAATTCCATGAGTTCATGCTCCTTGAGCTGTTTTATGATAAGCAGCGTCCTCTCCCAAAGGTCCTGTTTAGTGCATTTAATGCCTGAATCCCGAAATACATGCTAAAAGGTACAACTTCCTTAAGTTTTGTCCATGAGTGTATACACACTTGGTTATTTCATGTGTCTTCAATAAAGGTCACTGTAATATCTTTCAGAGTTATTGTCTGAATCCCGAAATACATGCTAAAAGGTACAACTTCCTTTAGTTTTGTCCATGGGTATAGGTGACTTTTCCAGAGAAGTTCTACTGTAACAACAGGCTGGTTATAGTAACATAAAATCTTGGTCAAAGGAGGTTTAAAGTATAGCAAGGATTGACTGTAGTTGGTTATACACCCGTCAGAGCTGCTGTCCCAGATTCACTCGTCACACCAACTTTCAATAAAGGTCACTGTAATACCTTTCAGAGTTATTGTCTGAATCTATATACATGCTAAAAGGTACAACTTTATTTTTTTTCCATGAGTGTAGGTGTGCTACTGTAACAACAGCAGGGTTATAGCAACATAAAATCTTGGTCCCAAGTGATGTTATAGCGAGGATCGACTGTAGTTGGTTATAAACCCGCCAGGTGTCACCCCAGCAGACTATACTCACCCAGAGCTGTTGTCCCAGATTCACTCGTCACACCAACCTTCAATAAAGAAGACTACCTTCGCCAACCTCCAGCCAAGTAAGTTGTTTGTTCCTTTCCCTCACTTTTTTTTTTCTTCTTTCCTGGGAACAGCTCTAAAAACACTTCAAAACCTAAATTTATAAGAAAGAAATTATTATAAGTGTAGTTCTCATGTTTCAATTATAAGGTTTACAATTTGGATTATAGATTATAAACACAAGGTAATAAGACCAAATCCAAATAAATAAATAGTGTGTGATGTTTCGGTAATGGTGTTACCATCTTCAGACAAAAGTAATGAATTTGTCTGAAGATGGTAACAATGCTGTTACCGAAACGTCACACACTATTTATTTATTTGGATTTGGTCTTATTACCTTGTGTTTATAATTTGGATTAAAATATAATAAGACCCAAATCCATATTAATAAATAGTGTGTGACGTTTCGGTAACAGCATTGTTACCATCTTCAGATAAAAGTACTGAATGAGAAATTTTACCACAGCCTTTTCATTCAGTACTTTTGTCTGAAGATGGTAACAACGCTGTTACCGAAATGTCACACACTATTTATTTATTTGGATTTGGTCTTATTACCCTGTTTTATAATCTATAATCCAAATTTGTGCCTTATCAATAACAAGACCAAATTATTGAAAAATTTTCATGTTTTTTTGTTGTTTCATACCCTTTTGTGTAAAGATTGCACAAATTCCATGAGTCCATACTACTTTAGCTGTTTAATGATAAGCAGCAGCCTCTCCCAAATGTCCATTCTCATGTTTTTTTAACCTTCTACATGTTCTCTAATATAATGGGAGGATGATTTATACACTTGATAACAGTAACTATTTAAAAACATGCTGTGATATATTTTCTTATTCAGTATTAATACAATAAAATAAGACCTAATCCAAATAATTTAATAGTGTGTGATGTTTCGGCAACAGCATTGTCACCATCAATTAATGTTCACGCTTTTGATTAGGTCTTATTTTCTTCTATTATAATCTATAATCCAAATTGTGCTTTATCATTCTTATTCAGTAGAGAGTTGGGTCCAAACATATCGATGAGGTTCCCATCTGGACATTCTTCAAAGACATGATCCTACTTACCGCCCTGCGCAAGAGCTTTTGCTTGCTGCGTTTCCACCATGGGCCAGTCCCTTCCTCCTTAACTGACCTGCCCTGGGTGGAAACACAGCAGGCAAAAGCTTCCACACAGGGCAGTATTGGGATCGTGTCCAGTATTCATATGGAAGCCTCGCCGATATAGTTGGGTCCAAATTTCTCATTCAGTACTTTTTCTGATGATGGTAACAATGCTGTTACTGAAACGTCCCGGACTTTATTTATTTGGATTTGGTCTTAATTACCTTGGGTTTCTAATCTATAATCTAAATTGTTCCTTGTTATATTTTTTATTTATAAAGTATTAGAAACACAAGGTAATAAGACCAAATCCAAATAAATAAATAGTGGGTGACGCCTCAGTAACAGCGTTGTTACCATCTTCAGACAAAAGTACTGAAGGATTTAGTATTAGTATCATTCAGTACTTTTGTCTGAGGATGGTAACAACGCTGTTACTGAAACGTCCCACACACTTTATTTATTTATTTGGATTTGGTCTTATTACCTTGTGTTTCTAATCTATAATCCAAATTGTGCCTTATCATATCTTTTATTTATTATTTCTTAGCAATAATGTTACTGGCTCCCCCTCCTTCATTTTTGATCCAGGCTTGAGACCTGTAATGGGAAGGTTGTTCAGTTTTATAAATACAGACTGCTTTTCACATATATAGACACTAGCCGAATGATCCGGGCAACGCCCGTGTTTTACCCGATTGAATGTTTTGATTCAAATACTATTTGTTACAATTATAAATTGGCGCCTTAAATAAATGCATATATTAGTTAATAACTATAGCCTATGTGCTTTATCTGTCTATGTACTGTTGGCTTCCGTAGGCGTCTCTTACTGGGAAAAAGAAAGAGAGGATTCCATTTGGTTATTAGCTAATATATGCATTTATTCAAGGAGCGACCCGCTCCAACACAATAGTTACAAAAACGAAAAAGCGAGTGGGGGGGGGGGGGCAAAGGTGGCGTGATCGTAGCCGACCAATAGGAGGGCGCCATTCCAAAAAAAAAAAAGCAAACGGTGACAGAGATGACTGATGAAGAATGACGCTCGTAACTGTATATAGACATGTGATGCACTTACAGTAAAAGCAGTTGCCTACTTCTACCCACCAGGATTATAATTGCCTGTACCATGTGTACTAGGGACAAGCAAAAATAAATAAATACAGAGATTGTGCTTTCTATATATTGCCTTACAATTAAGTGTACATCGTCATGATGAGATCTAGCAGTTGGCTGTACAGGTCCTTGCTGGAATGTCTGGACATCATCTGTTCTGACAGCTCTGGCCTCTTCGACCCTCCACAGCCCCTCCCCTCAACACCAGACAAAGGTACCTGCGGTAAATATTCTGAATCTATTTCTTTTCTTGTGTTCCTCAACATGTGTATGTTCTTCTTCTTTCTTATCTCCACTCAATCATATTTATAAAAACTCTTGATACTTCATTTTAAACTTCATATTCTGCTTGGCTAACTTTCAGGCTTAAACACAAGGTAATAAGACCAATTCAACAATCTTCTTATTCTTTCTTATCTCCACTCAATGATATCAGGGTATCAATCCTGTAAAGCTTGTTGATGGTGTCTGCTGGGATGAGTAGAGTTCATCAATGGATGAGTCAATACAGTCAATGATGTAGTTTGGGGTTTCAGGTTGAGAATTTCACTTAGTACATTGTGGGAAAACCTTGCAACCATTCTGGAAAGTCATTGTTCATGATTGACCAGACTTAACTCTGGAAATCAAGGACTGTTGTTCCCTTTGGAGGACAGAATTTGTCCCTATGTGTGTCTGTGTGAATACTAGTTGTTAGATTGATAAGGCACAATTTGGATTATAGATTGTAAACACAAGGTAATAAGACCAAATCCAAATAAATAAATAGTGTGTGACGTTTCAGCATTGTTACCGAAACGTCACACACTATTTATTTATTTGGATTTGGTCTTATTACCTTGTAGTTGTTAGATTGGTGAATTCCAAGTCCATCACACTGGTTTAAGACACCTTTGGTGATAAATAAAAACTGATAAGATGAAGGCAAAGAATTTGTTCTAATTTTTTTTGGGTCATGCTATCACTTATAGAAGAATAAAAGAAACTTATCCTTTGTCTTATTCTTAAGTTAGAGTACCTCTGGGAGTGATGATCCAACATTACCTTTGATGATGATCTTCAACTTCTTGTGCTTGTATCATCATCAACAACAACTGTAGACCTGGCTGGAATGTGGTGGTTGTCTTCCACATCTCAGTATTATTGTGTTGTTGTTTCTTATCTCTCCCTTATGTAAAGAATCTAAAAATTCTATGAGTATAAATAATGAACAAAATGTGGCTTCAGAGTTTTTTATTTTATATTCTTCTCTAGCTTTCGGGTATATCTCAAACCCTGTAGAAGGATTTGGATCTCTGACCTTCGTAATGATTCTCTTTGTAATGGTCCTCTGACCTTCTTGATCATCCTCTTACCTTTATGATGAACCTCTGACCTTCGTAATGATTCTCTTTGTAATGGCCCTCTGACCTTTGTAATAATTATCCGGCCTTTTTGATCATCCTCTGACCTTAATGATGACCCACTGACCTTAATGATGACCCACTGACCTTTGTGATAGTTCTTTGACCTTTGTAATGGCCCTCTGACCTTTGTAATAATTCTCTGGCTTTCTTGATCATCCTCTGACCTTTGTGATGATCCTCTGACCTTCGTGATAGTTCTTTGACCTTTGTGATGATCCTCTGACATTTTTGATAGTTCTTTGACCTTTGTGATAATCCTCTGAACTTTGTGATGACCTTCTGACCTTTATAATGGTCCTCTGACCTTTTGTAATGGTTCTCTGACCGTTTTGATGACCTTCTGACCTTTATGATGATCCTCTGACCTTTGTGATGGTCCTCTGACTTTTGTGATGGTCCTCTGACCTTTGTGATGCTCCTCTGACCTTTGTGATGGTCCTCTGACCTTTGTGATGATCCTCTGACCATTGTGATAGTTCTTTGACCTTTGTAATGGTCATTCACCTTTATGATGAACCTCTGACCTTTGTAATGGCCCTCTGACCTTTGTAATAATTCTCTGGCCTTCTTGATCATCCTCTGACCTTTATGATGAACCTCTGACCTTTGTGATGATTCTCTGACCTTTGTGATGATTCTCTGACCTTTTTGATTGTTCTTGACCTTTGTGATGACCTTCTGACCTTTGTAATGGTCCTCTGACCTTTGTGATGACCTTCTGACATTTGTGATGATCCTCTAACCTTTGTGATGGTCCTCTGACCTTTGACCTTTGTAATAATTCTCTGGCTTTCTTAATCATCCTCTGACCTTTGTGATGATCCTCTGACCTTTGTGATAGTTCTTTGACCTTTGTGATGATCCTCTGACCTTCGTGATAGTTCTTTGACCTTTGTGATGATCCTCTGACCTTTGTGATGATCCTCTGACCTTCGTGATAGTTCTTTGACCTTTGTGATGATCCTCTGACATTTTTGATACTTCTTTGACCTTTGTGATGATCCTCTGAACTTTGTGATGACCTTCTGACCTTTGTAATGGTCCTCTGACCTTTTGTAATGGTTTTCTGACCTTTTTGATTACCCTCTGACCTTTGTGATGATCCTCTGGCCTTTGTGATGGTCCTCTGTCTTTGTGATGACCTTCTGACCTTTGTAATGGTCTTTTGACCTTTGTGATGATCCTCTGACCTTTGTGATAGTTCTTTGACCTTTGTAATGGTCCTTCACCTTTATGATGAACCTCTGACCTTTGTAATGGCCCTCTGACCTTTGTAATAATTCTCTGGCCTTCTTGATCATCCTCTGACCTTCTGATGATTCTCTGACCTTTGTGATAGTTCTTTGAACTTTGTAATGGCCCTCTGACCTTTGTAATAATTCTCTGGCCTTCTTGATCATCCTCTGACCTTTATGATGAACCTCTGATCTTTGTGATGATTCTCTGACCTTTGTGATAGTTCTTTGAACTTTGTAATGGCCCTCTGACCTTTGTAATAATTCTCTGGCCTTCTTGATCATCCTCTGACCTTTATGATAGTTTTTCGACCTTTGTAATGGCCCTCTGACCTTTATTAATAATTCTCTGGCCTTCTTGATCATCCTCTGACCTTTATGACCTTTGTGATGATCCTCTGACCTTTGTGATAGTCCACTGACCTTTGTGATGGCCCTCTGACCTTTTTGATGGTCTTCTGACCTTTGTAATGGCCCTCTGACCTTTGTAATAATTCTCTCCCCTTCTTGATCATCCTCTGACCTTTATGATGAACCTCTGACCTTTGTAATGATCCTCTGACCTTTGTGATAGTTCTTTGACCTTTGTAATGGTCCTTCACCTTTATGATGAACCTCTGACCTTTGTAATGGCCCTCTGACCTTTGTAATAATTCTCTGGCCTTCTTGATCATCCTCTGACCTTTATGATGAACCTCTGATCTTTGTGATGATTCTCTGACCTTTGTGATAGTTCTTTGACCTTTGTAATGGCCCTCTGACCTTTGTAATAATTCTCTGGCCTTCTTGATCATCCTATGACCTTTATGATAGTTCTTTGACCTTTGTAATGGCCCCCTGACCTTTGTAATAATTCTCTGGCCTTCTTGATCATCCTCTGACCTTTATGACCTTTGTGATGATCCTCTGACCTTTGTGATAGTCCTCTGACCTTTGTGATGATCCTCTGACCTTGGTGATGGTCTTCTGATCTTTGTAATAATTCTCTGGCCTTCTTGATCATCCTCTGACCTTTATGACCTTTGTGATGATCCTCTGACCTTTGTGATGGTCTTCTGACCTTTGTGATGATCCTCTTACCTTTGTGATAGTCTTCTGACCTTTGTAATGGTCTTCTGACCTTTGTAATGGTCTTCTGATCTTTTTGATAGTTCTTTGACCTTTGTGATGACCTTCTGACCTTTGTAATGGTCCTCTGACCTTTGTGATGACCTTCTGACATTTGTGATGATCCTCTGACCTTTGTGATGGTCCTCTGACCTTTGTAATGATCCTCTGACCTTTGTGATGGTCCTCTGACCTTTGTGATGGTCTTCTGACCTTTGTGATGATCCTCTGACCTTTGTGATGACTTTCTGTCTTTGTGATGACCTTCT